AACATCGAGAAAGTGGAGGATACAGATTCAAAACACTTGTTTTAAAGCTTCTTATCAACAAGAAGCATATGAAGCAGGCATTCAAGGAATTTAAGGACTATGTCACACAGAAAATGAATCAAATGGAAGTTGATATATCAGAAATTAATAATACAGTCAAGCAAAAATTAAAGTATAATGGAGAGTCTCCAAAGTAGAATGAAGGAGGCAGAAGAAAGAATCTCAGTATTGGAAGATATTTCCTTTCACCAGCGGAAAACAGACAAAAAGCTGGAAGCAGAGCTGGGTCAAGCTCAAAAAAGTATTTAAGAATTAAGAGAAACTATTAAAAGGCCAAATGTAAGAGTTATGGGAGTGCTAGAAGGTGCAGAAAGAGAAGCTGGGTTCAAAAATGTATTTAATGAAATAATAAGGGAAAATTTCCCTAATCTAGAGAAAGAATTGGCAAACAACATCCAGAAACCCAACAGGATTGACCAAAAGTATCTCCACCACGACACATGATAATCAAGCTCTCTCCAGTCAAACATAAGAAAAAGATCCTGAAATGTGCATGTGAAACAAAAATCAACTGACATATGAAGGAATGCCAGTTAAATTCACAGGAGATCTCTCACAAAAACTCCATAGGCCAGAAGAAAATGGGGCAACATATTCCAGAATCTCAAAGCAAAACACTGTCGGCCCAGGATTACATACCCAGTAAAGCTTTCCTTTGTCTTTGAAAATAAAATAAAATTCTTCCACAGTAAAGCAAAAAAAATTTATAGAATATGCCTCTTTCAGACCCGACCAACACATGATACTTCAAGATGTTCTCTTGACAGAGAAGAGGAATAGCGCCTACCAAAACCAAAGGCAAATGTGAAGAACATCCCAGTGAAATAACAACACAAGACTAAATCAACGAACAACCCATTGCTAAAATGACAGGACCAAATTACCACCCGTATATATTAATCCTGAATGTTAATGGATTAACTCTTCAGTCAAATGTCATACTTACCCAAAATGCATTAAAAATGCAAAACCCATCTATTTGTTGCCTACAGGAGAAATATCTCACCAACAAAGATCAGCAGAAACCATATCTCATGGATTTTATATATATATCTTTAATTTATCCATTCAAACCACCTTCTTCCCATTAAATTCTTCACTGACTCGTAGATCATACAGGAGCATCATTTTCTTCAAGAAGGTTCTTGATTTTATTTTACATGTTATTTAATTTCATGGCATTTTAAATTTCTTTGTTTCCTGTTGTTCATTTTGTTTTATGGCTTTTCAATTAAGGGAATGTACAGTAACTTTGTAATGGAGACTTTCATATTCATATCTGGTATCATGTTATTGAACTTCATGGCATTGTAAATCTCTATTTTTCTTTTTTTTGCTGTTGATTTTGTATTGTGGCTTTTCACTTAAGGAGATGTACAGTAACTGTGAAATGGAGTCTGTCATATCCAGATGTGAGGATACAATGCAGTATGTATCTCTACTTCCAGACCAAAGATGAACTCCCAATGAAACTGTTAATTACATCTTGACAATACAATGCTAGCCCCTCTGCCATTACCATGCCCGCAATGACGGACATATGACTCCTTATGAAGAACTTATAGTAATGATATAGGTAAACTTGGGAGAGGAGGAGGGGACTTGACAAGGGTGGGAGGGAAATCCCAGAGCCTATGGAACTGTATCATAAAATGATAACAGTAATTTTATTTTATTATTTTTTTAAAAGATTTACTTTTATCATTTTTTTTGTTGGAAAGGCAGATATACAGAGAGGAGAGACAGAGAGGAAGATCTTCCGTCCGATGATCCACTGCCCAAGTGAGCCCAACGGTGGATGCCATGCCAATCCGAAGCCAGGAGCCTCTTCTGGGCCTCAGAGTCCCAAAGCTTTGGGCCGTCCTCGACTGCTTTCCTGGGCCACAGGCAGGGAGCTGGAAGGGAAGCGGAGCTCCCGGGATAGAACCGGTGCATATATGGGATCCTCGGCGTGCAAGGCGAGGACCTTAACCACTGCGCCACTGCACCGGGCACGATAACAGTAATTTTAAAAGAAGGAAAAAAAAGTCAGCGGTGTTACTATAAATGTTGCTTTTCCATTTTTAAGCATGGCCACTCTGGAAAAAAAAATCCCATTTACATTGGAACTGATAAAGAACAAAATACAGAGAAATAAATTTAGAGTAAAACATGTGTACACTAAAAATCCTAAAACTTTGATTAAAAAAAATTAAAGATGACAAGATAGACCCGCTCTTGATGGCCTAGTGGATGAAGTCCTTGACTTACGCCTGCTGGGATCCAATATTGGCACCAGTGTGTATCCCAGCAGCCCTACTTCCCATCCAGCTCCCTGCTTGTGGCTTGGGAAAGCAGTCAAGGATGGCCCAGAGCTTTGGCATTCTGCTTCCACATGGGAGACCCAGAGGAAGTTCCTGGCTCCTGGCTTCAGGTCAGCTCCACTATGGCCATTGCAGCCACTTGGGGAGTGAACCAGCAGATAAAGATCTTCCTCTTTATATCTCCTCCTCACTGTATATCTGCAGTTCCGATAAAAATAAATACATCTAGAAAAGATGACAACATAAATGGAAAGATTTTTCATGTTCATGAATTCAAAAAATTTATATTGTGGACTGTGTGTAGTACTGAAGTTCTCTATAGAGTTAATATAATTTTTTTTCACAATTCCAATGACTTTTTTTTACAGATATAGCAAAACAAAACTAAGTCTACAATTTTTATGAAACACAACAGACTGACTAGCTGAGGCAAACTTGATGACAAAGAACAAAGCTGAAGGCGTCACAGTATCTGACAGCAAAGAAATACTGGGACAGTGCAGTGGAGTAATATATTAATCCTCCACCTGTGAAACCTGCATCCTATATGGGCACCAGTTTGTGTCCCAGCTGCTCCAGTTCTATCCAGCTTCCTGCTAATGGCCTGGGAAAGCACCAACGGATGTTCAAGATCTTGGCTCTCTGAACTGACATGGAGACCTGAAAGAAGCTACCAGCTCCTGGCTCTGGAAGGCCCAGCTATGGTCAGGGTGGCCATCAGGGGAATGAACCAGAAGATGGAAGATACCTGTGTGTGTGTGTGTGTGTGTGTGTGTGTGCATGGAATGTGTGTGTTTTACTGCTCTCTGTAGTTCTTTCATCAACAATAAATAAATCTTTAAAATACACATGTACACTATAAAACTACAGTAAGCCAAACAGTACGCTACTGTCATAAACACAGACACCTAAATAGATGAAGCACAACAGCGCGTCTAGAAATAAACTCTTGCATGGTCAACTGTTATTCAGAAAAAGTGCCAAGAACACACAATGCGGAAAGGACCATTTGTCAATAAGCAGTACTGGGACAACTGGATAACACGAGACCAGAGAGTGACATTAGACCTTCATCAAAATCACCTGAAAAAATCCATCAAGAATGAATTAAAGGCTTCAATCTAAGACCTAAAACTGTAGAAGAAAACATGGGGAAGAGCTACATATCATGGGTCTTGGCAATGATTTTCAATGTGACACAAAAGTATGATCAATACAAGCAAAAATCAACAACAAAGATTATCTAAAGCCAAAAGCTCTGTAGAGTCAAGAAAATAACCCACAGGTAAGAGACAACCTACACTATGGCAGAAGACATGTGCAAATCTATCTGCTAAATGACTGAGACCCAAATGATGGAACTAACTTAAGCAACTCAATAATAAATTAATAATGGGTATTTTATTATCAAAAAAGTCCTGCACAAAAGGACCTATACAAGTGACCAACGTGTAAATGGGAAATGCACAGCACCACTAACCACCCGGGAAACATAACGTAAAATCATGAGAAGATGTCACTTCACGCTGGCTGCATTGGTGTTTAGCAGAAAGACATGAGAGGACAGATGCCGGTGGTGATGTCTAAAAACGGGAACCCCGGTGCTACTGCTGGCTGGGTTATAAATAGTACAGCCATCATGGAAAACAAAATGGAGATTCCTTGAAAATCACACATCAACTACGTAAGACAGAGCAGTCACACTCCTGGATATTTATCCCAAGTATATGCAGTCAATATGTCACGGAGGTGCCTGCACTCCCCCGTTCAGAGCAGTATTAGACACAGAAGTCGAGGCGTGAAGTCAGCCCAAGTGCCCGGCGACAGAGGAATGCGCAAAGATGACATCTACACAAAGGAATACGACTCAGCCTCAAAAGGAAGAAGCTCCTATCACCTGAATCAACCCACATGACCCGGAGGACACAACACTGAGGGAAACAAGCCAGGTACAAGAGGACCATCACAGAGCTCATCTGTGCTTCACAACAGCATCTCGTTTTCTTAAAAATTACTGAAAACGGATTTTAAGTGTTCTTACCACAAAAAGTATATGAAGAGCTATATATGCTCGGTACATCAAGTCATCCGTTTTATTCTGTGTCAGTGGGCTGTGAGCTGCAGGGTTCTCCTTGTCTCCCTTTGCTCTCCACTCCCGACGTGCCTGGGGATCCCTCAGGGAGCCCTGCCCACACCCTGCAGCCTTGAACCCTTTCTCCTCCTCCATTCATCCCTCCCTGTTCCTGGCACCTGCACACACAGATAGTTATCAAGGATATGGATCACACGTGTTACCAGTTTAACATATTCAGATGCTGTGTGTTAGAGGACAAAGACCAGATAGTGGAAAGCTTTTCATCTGGGCTCCTCTTTAACGCTGGCCACGGGCCATGCTTCTGAGCCCTTCAGGGCTCCACCCCTAGCTCTCCTGTCTGGAAGGTTCTCTAGCACTACTGTTTCCAGGTGTTTCAGCTGTGCAAGTCTGGCTTCCTCCACTTTGACCTCGGCTGCCTTCTCAATGTCCTCCCTCGTGTCCCTGACCTTCTCCATGTCCTCCCACGTTCCATCCCTGGCTTATCCTCTCTGTCCAGAACCCAGCTGGCTCCGTTCCCTCTACAAGTGAGAAATGCTTGTTACCTTGTTCCAGTGGCAGCTGAATCCTGGAATTCTCCTCTATGTGGCCTCTGACATTGTTCTGGAATCGAAGCTTGCGGTTGACTTCTGAAGACAGAGATGAGAAGGCGGTTAGAGATCTTCGCAGGAACCATGGAAGTCACAAAACCACCTGCTTAGGATTCTCCAGTTTCCGGATCAGTGCATCCCACAGAACTGAACGTTCCCCATCAGTCCATGGGAGATGGCATGTCAGCAAGGGAGGTTTTATGTTTTCCAGACAGAAAAAGACAAGCAAGGCTGGAGAAAACAGAAGTGGAAGCACTGTGGGCTGTGTTACCTAAAGAGTGCTGAGAGACTAGGTATGTGTTTGCAAGGAACGAATCTCAACTGACCTTGAACTGTGGTTATGCAACAAGGTGGAGGAATCCACCATGGGGGGAGGGGTTTGGCAGGGGAGGGGGGAATCCCCAGTGCCTATAAAACTGTATCACATAATACAATGTAAACAACAATAAAAAAAAAAGAGTGCTGAGAGAGAGAAAGCAGATAGCAACATATTCAATAAAAGAGAATCATGTGGGGTTTTTTCTCTGGTACCTCTTTTTAAAAAAGATTCTTTTATTGTTTAGAAAGCAGAGTAAGGGGTGAGGAGATCTCCCTTCAGTGTGGTGACTCTTACAATTGGCCTTGCCCCCATTGGGTGTCCCTGAAACTGGCTGGGGAGGTTTTTACAAGAGACCGACCCCATGAGCACAGAGTACCAAGCCAAGCTGGGTCCCGCACCCACAGTTAGTTAGACTGTCTATCGCTCAAATCAGGCTGCAGTCAATGGGGTGGGCTGCAGTGTAGACCAGCACAAGGGCTCCAGTGGAACAGAAGCCACTGGTTCTGCTCATTGGGATTTTCTGTGACTTGTCCTGTGTCCTCCTAAGTAACCGTGGTGCCCGTGTCATGCTGGTCATCTTGTTATTCTAAACGCCTGGCTCAGCAGATCTCTGAGTGGCGGCTGTACCCCTGCTATCATGCCAGAAGCTCCAAGAAGGTTCATGCCGCGTCTGTCTTGACAAGTACTTTATCTCCACTGTCCAGCACAGTCTGTGGTTTGTGTTAGAAACTCAGTACATGCTTGCTGAAAATATTTTACCCTAAACTCCTAAAGGTAGACAATTAACATAATTACCAATTTCAAAGCTTTTACGAACAGGAACTAATTTGGGGTATTCCTGCAGGTTGACCTCGTTGAACACTGCCTCGAAAACAGTCTCGTCAAACTTCTCCAGTTTCTCAAGAACATCATACACCACATGTTCAACACGCATCATGTTTCTCCAAGAATTTTCTGCATCCTTAAAAAATATAAAATAGAAAAACACAGAATATTAAGCTACAACAAGCTCCAGAAGTCAGTTTCATTCTTTTTTTTTAAGATTTACTTATTATTATTAAAGCAATTTTTGGTGCAGAGATAGAGACACACAGAGAGAGAACGATCTTCCACTTGCTGGTTCACTTCCCAAGTGGCCACCATGACCAGAGTTAAGCCAATCCAAATCCAAAAGTCAGGAGCTTCTTCCAGGTCTCCCACACGTGTACCGGGTTCCAAGGCTTTGGGCCGTCCTCCACTGCTTCCCCAGGCCACAAGCAGGGAGCTGGATGGGAGGTGGAGCAGCCAGGACACAAACTGGTGCCCAGTATGGGATCCCGGCCCATGCAAGGTGAGGATTTAGCCACTGCACTATCATGCTGGGCCCTACTCAAACTCTTAAGACTACACAAGTGCCACACACACACACACACACACACACACACACACAAATGAAAGAAAAACCAAGCAAGCCTCTACTTCTAAATTCATCCCAATGAGTTTTAAGGCTTTTGGACTTAGATATTTTGAATCAACATTAATTGAAATAAAGTGCTGTGCCAGTAACTGTTTCAGTAAACCAGTAAAACCATTAATTCACTAAAACTATTTACAACATTTAGTTTATGTTACAATGAATGATTGTTTGAACTACATGGTATGACATATACAAGACAGCACCCATCTAAGAGTGCAATTGTGTCAACTCTGGCTTATCACCAGTGCATCCGCCCACCTCCAGAGGGCGTCACATAACACCATCGCATCAGGGAGAAGCAGGGCATGAGTGATACAGAAGCACTTACAGAAACACCTGTCTGTCACTGGTTGTAACTTGAAATTGAATCTGGAATATCAGAGCATAAATTAAGTGGCTGCTAGTACACCAGGTTGTGACACAGTGGACTTCACTTACCTGAAACATTCTATCCGTGATGAGTCCACGGTCACGGAGGCCATGCAGGAAAGGAAATGTGTGCGTTATTGCATGTGAGATCTCCACTCTGCAGCTCTTGAAATGATTTAACACTGCCTCATAGATGAGCTTTTCTTCTTCGTCTTCTGTGGACATCTCTGTGGGAAAGCACACCCCATGAAAATGGTCATTAGGATTACAGGGCCCGTGGGAGGTCCTAAGGTCACACTCGGGAAGGAAAGGCCACCACGCACCAGCACATTCAAAGCAAGCATCCTAGGTAGATGCCAGAATGAACGGAGCTAAAGCAATAGAGATGAAATGGGAGGAAGCGCACAGGTCACAGAAGAAGTAACTGCGGACTGCCCAGCCCATCCTGCATCACAGCGATTATAGGTACTTCCCACCTAAGCTTATGTAGAATGTATTTCAATTGAAAAACCTTAACTCCTATAAAATTAAGGTGGAATAAGAAGGGCATTCAGACAGGAGTATAAAATAATGAAAGAAAAACAGGATCTGTCCTTGAAAATTTATCTTAATGAGCAATTAAGAGAAAACAGATCACAAAAAGACAAAAGCAAAATGCCCTATTTCTGATCACAGTCATCAAACCACACAATTAAGTGAGAAATGCCATTCTACCTCAAAAACTTAGTTATGAGTGATATCACATGGTGTAATAATAACAATTGTAAGCTGAGAGTGTAACAAGAATGGCAACCATATTACCCGAGACAACTGGTTTTGTTTTGTGTTAACACAAATTGGTGCTCTTCTATTTTAGTTGATAATAACTGAATTTCAATTACATACAACTCTAGATATTTTTCAAGCCTTGTGATAACTACAAAAAAAATCAGTATATGCACAAAATGCGAAAAAAGTATTATCTTTACCAAAAAGCATTAAATTATAAATGAACTTAACAAGAAAAAATACAGAAACAAAGAAACTATGCAAGAGCCAGAAAGTAACTAACAAAATGGCAACAGTAAATTTTTACTTATCAATAATTACTTTGAATGCAAATAGATCAAATTCTCCAATCAAAAGGCAGAAAAAAGTATAGTAAGTCCAACATGATCTAATTGCTTGCTCCCTACAAGACACTCATGCTGACTTCACAGACACACAACTGAAAATGAAAGAAAGAAAAATCACAGTCTATGTAAATGGTTCCCAAAGAGAGCCTGGGCGTGTGTGTTGAAAGAAAATAGATCACCAAGACCACAAAACAAGTCTCAACAAATAGAAAGACCGAAATTATACCAAGTATCTTTTCTAACCATAATGATATGAACTAGAAATCAGTAATGAGAGGAAAACTGAAAAAATTCACAAACACATGAAAGTTAACATATTACTGAACAAACAGCAAGTGAAAGAAAAAAACAAGAATGGAAGACTTTTAACATTTTTGACACCAATGGATATAGAAATATAACATACCAAAACTTTGGTAAAAAAAAAAAGCAATCCTAAGAGAAGAGATTTTAGCTATAGACACTGGGATTGAACAAAAAGAGAGAAACTCAGTGAACAATCCAACTTACAACTCAAGGAACCAGAAAAAGAAAAACCAACCCTGAAGTCAGCAGGAGGAAGGGAATAAAACGACAGAAAAATAAATGAGACGATAGGAAAAAAGCTCAACGAAAGTCAGAGTTGATTCTTGGAAAATAGAAGCATAACTGACAAGCCTTTAGTTGGACTAATCAGGAGACAGACAACCCAATCAAAAAGTGAAAAGAAAACATCACAATTGATACCACTGATACACAGATTACCCTAAGAATCTATGATGAATAGTTACATACCAACAAATTTAGTAACCTAGAGGAAATAGAGAAATTCCTGGAAACATACCAAGACTGAATCAAGAAGAAACAGAAAATCTGAAGAGAGTAAGGAAACTGAATTACTAACAAAAAAGAATCTACTATCAACTAGAAGTGCAGGGCTAGATGGCAACATGGCTGAATGCTACAAAACAATCAGGAGGATAATACAAATCCTTCTCGAACTGTTCCAAACAATTGATGAGAACACCTCCAAATCAGCACTGCCCTGATACCAACTCCAGAAAACAACAATTTAAGAAAATGAAATTACTGGGCCAAATTCCCTAAGAACGTGATTACAAAAATCCCCAATAAAATACTAGCAAACCAAATACAGTAGCACACCAACAGGGTCATTTATTGGGATCAGGTGGTCTTTATTCCCGGAATGTACATGTGGTTTAACCACACAAATCTATAAATATGACCCATCACATTAACAGAGGGAAGGACAAACAAATCATCTCAACAGGCTCATGGTAAGGTTCAACATCCTTGATGACAAACACTCTGAAAACCTGAGTAGAGAAGGAATGTAGCTAAGCCAAACTTAAATCAAAGACAAAAACCTGAATTTTTTTTTTTGACAATCTTTACATAGTTAATTAGGGTAAGAAGGTTCAAGGGCTACAGGAAAGTGGATAATACTAGTATATTTTCCATATTGTTACCTTCATGTTTAAAGGGGGATATTAAGGGAGAAGGCCCACCAAATTTCCCACCCTCCCCAGGTCCCGGATGTAGGGCATGCTCTGAGGTCTTGCTCAAGTGGTTTTGATATTGCAACAGTTATGAATTGCTGTCAATCTTGCCACTCCAAGCACTATGAGGTCTTTGAAAAATCCACTGATTGACATAGTCCATCCTAGCTGAGATAGTTGGTTGACCTGTTCTGTCTTCTCTTTTCTTCGTTTGGGTTCTGAGTCCAGCATGTAGATTAGGAAGATCTCCAAAAAAACTTCTTGGATGTGCTAGCAAGCACAGGGCCTGGCACAGTCCATCGCCCAGATCAGCTGGTGGTTGCAATTGCTGGGTTGGTTCTGTTTTCACTCCCAACTTCCACTGGAACCAATTGGTGTTGCAGTCCAGCCTGGTTCTGCCCAGCACATACTTGGCCCTCACATAAACCAGTGGGAGCTGCAGCCTAGTTGGAGCGACCCACAATAACCCCCACCAGGCCCGCCCCCTACCCTGGTTTGCCAGTATGTGTAGCAGTAATCCAGTCTGTCCCACACCCCATTCCACCCCAGCCGCTATCTTAGTTTTATGTCCTCCCGTGGAAGTGGTAACCCAAGAGGGATGAGCCCACTATTTCCCTCCCAGACCTCTCCCACTCCCAGATTCCAGCTGATGCTGCAGCTAAGCCCAAACAACCCTCGCCCACTTTAATTTTGTTTGCACCAGTAGGAATAATCCGCCGAGCCTGGCTTTTCCCTGATCTAGTCCACATGAGGCACACAGGTGTGGTAGCTCTGCCTAGTCTGGTCTGCCCCCATCCCAGCCTATGCTCTCCTGCGGAAGTAGCTGTCCAGCAAAGGAACCCTCCTTTATTCCCCTTGCCGGCTCTGCCCACTTCCTTTCTTGTTCTCAGGCTGGTTGGGCACTGTGGTCCCTTCCAGTACAGGCACCCTCACCCTGACATTCTGTATTGTGCACTAGTCTTTGTTGCGACCGAAATGGGTAGTCCCACACTGGTGCCTGATTTGCCAATGGATGACGTGGACAGATTCAGCCTGGTCTTCCCCCGACCCATGCCAATTGTATGCCTGTGTGTAGCTTTCCATGGCCTTTTCTGGGCTGTTTAAAACCTGAATTTTTTTTAAATGGACACTCAGGACTGAAAAGGTACAGCATTCTAAGGTTCCAATTTGTTGCAACACATTTAGAAATACTGTGAGTGCTTGATTGATACAGCACACTCTTTTAAGTGTGCCTTCCATGGTGCTACACTGTCTCTTCTCTTGGCCCTTCCATGAAATGAGAACCATTACCGTCACCAGTGTTCTACAGGTGTGAAGCCAGCTTACCCCAGTTGATTCATACAGTGACAGAACTGGAATTCAGGCCACCTTCTCTCCAGCTTCCTGACTCCCAACGCTCCCACCTCCAACCACCCTCTTTGATCATCACACTATGTGGCTTTTCAAACAGCAGAGCCTAAGCCATGTGCTTGCATTAGGCCAGGAAGCAAAAAGCAGATTCTGAAAAACGGGACCCTATCTCTATTTTTTTGAAAGGCAGAGAGAGAGAAACAGAGACAGAGACAGGGAGAGTTTTCCTGTTGCAAGCCGCATCTGTATGCACTGGCCACATGCCGTACCTAAAATGGCGCCGGCCGAAGAAGCCACACCTTCGTGCGTGGTGGAGAGTCACGTAGCCTTCGCGGTACTGCGCAGGTGCCTAGCGCATGCGCAGTGAGCTGCGGCGTGGCCGGCACGTGAACACTGGGGACTGACGAATCCGGTCGCCCAGGACCCTGCGTGATCATGACGCCGACCTATCATCGGCGGAGGCGGGGCCAGTCAGCACATAAGAGCAGACAGCCTGCTGGGGTCGCCCCTCTCTCTCTTCCTCATCTTGGTGCTCGCAATAAATTTTACCGCAGAAGACTTCACTCGCGTCTGCGTCTTATTGCTGGGCGGTAAGACACGTGGGCGCGACAACTGGTGCCGGAAACCCGGGACCTGGAGGGGGCCTCCCATTTCGAACGGGAGGAAGTCAGAACTGCGGCCAAAAAACAGGTAAGGAGCTCTGAGAGGGAGAACTTTCGGGTGACTAGGAGCATAAATCGGAGGTATATGAGCCACTGCTTCTGGTTATAGACATGGGCGCACAGGTCTCTCTGGTGAAATTTTTGCAGATGGTTTATGCCCTCCGTAAGGGAGCGGTCAGAGAGAGTGACAAAGCCCTTCAGTCTGCCCAGGATAGTCTCTCAGAAACAGAGCGGGAGAGGAGAACCGGTTTGAAGCAAAAAATAAAGGTGAAACTGAAAGCAGGATCTTCCTCATCAAGTTTGGAGACATCCGATGCGGAGGAAGGGTACAAGCGGGATAGGCGCTTAGGACGCAAACAACCCGCAGGAAGCAGAGGAGGATCAGAAAAAGAGAAGAAAGAGAATGGCGGTGCTACTGCGCCGGCCACGCTCGGCCCATGGCCTCAGGGCTCTGGAGCCATTTCACTAATGGCTCCTCCTGCTGTGAAGCCATCTGCCCCGCCCATGAGTTGTGGTGCCGACTCCTCCTTCATCGATCCAGCCACACGCCGGGAACTTCAAAATATGTTCCCCGTCTTAGAAGAAGAAAGGGAAAGAGTTT